TGGTATTGGTTTTATTTTTCCCTTTTTTCCCTTTCTTATCCCTTCTTTTTTACCTTTTCCTTTTTAAAAGGACGACGGCCTTGAGATATCATCATTGAACTGACCGGCCCCAGGTAATTCAGAATGGTTTTATTCTGTTCATCTGACAGTACCTGGATTCTAGCTCGGGTGTGTATTTCAACAGTCCATGGGTGTTCAAGACCCCTGATGAAGCTGGTCATGGCGGCCAGCCGAAACCGGTAGGGTCACTCGCCGTAAGTTCGTCATGTACTTTCCTTTTTTCATTCAACGACGAACAAGTCGCATTCGGTGTTTTCCATGTCTATCGAGTCTTGTCTACCCTCTTCTCCCTTCTCCTTGTCTGGTTCATGTGTATGACTTTTTCGATGTCTTTCACGTCTATCTAGTTCTGTGCATCCTCTTCTCCATTCCTCTCGTCTGGTACATGAGTGCATGATTATCTCCTGTTTCTATCGAGGCTGATTAATTATGTCAAGCCAGATTCAGTTGTAAATATTATACAACAGCCATTGGTTTGCCTTTTTTTTCAGTGGATTTCTATCTGGAATCTTAGACATAGGGCGTCGTTAGACACTCCTTATCATACTTGCGGCGCATGCCGTGCGCGGCGTCGCGGCAGGTGCGGCGCAGAGCGCACAGCGCAGCTGGCGCACGCACGGCATGCGCCGCATAGGGAAAATGAGGGGTCGCGGAATTTTTTTTTTCTTTTCTGGGGGGGGGGGATTAGGCCCAGGGGGTACCGGGGGAAAATGGCCGTTTGGGCGTGCAAAAATTTTTTTGGGCCACGCGCGGGCCCGGAAAAAAATTTGGGGGGAGGTCTGAGTAGTTCGTTTTCGAATTACTCAGACCTCCCCAACGTGGTTCAGGCCGAACCCCATGCCTCAGTTGGGCACCCCGGTAGTCGGCCTGCCCACCCATTGTCGTTGCTCTCCTTCGGCGGCGGCCTGTTCTTCGTTGTCGTCGTCGGACCAGCCCTTCAGCAGCAGCTTCCGCCATAGCTCGAGGACGAAACAGGAGGCAGC